CCAGCCCCCACCAGTCTGGGGTTCTGTGATCCCTGTGGCCGGGCTGTCACTGGCACTATCACAGCAGTGTTTGCTAAGGGCTTGGGGGTCTTTGTTCTCCCAAGAGGGAAGCGGGAGTTCCCCAGAACCCATCCAGGCCCCTTCTGTAGTTCTTGGAGGGAGGCAGCTGCAGAGGACAATTAGCTCAGCTCACCACACTGCTGGCTCCAGGAGGAGCTCTGAACAACAGCTCCCTAACTGGGGTGTTTAAAGGTGGGGTGAACTAGACCTCAATAGAAATACAGATCAAAAAAGCATCCAGAAAAGAAGATCTCTGCCCAAAGCACGTACCTGAAACAGCAAGGCAGCCTTCCAGAGCAGGAGCCCAGGAGACGCACAGGAACTCCACACCCAAGCTGGGAGAAGGAACTCTGCACTTTGCTGAGGCCAAGAACTCTGAGGTTTTCCTTAGGTCTGTCAGGGTGAGATGCCCTCCGCTCGAGAGGAGAGCTACGGGCTGGGAGCTTGAGTCAGAGCCTTGAGGTCCGCGCCCGACTCCCATGCACCACCGCTCGCCACACGGCGCCGAGGGGACGGACACAGCCTCCAAGGGACTCTGCGGCTGGCGCACGCACGCCCCAGCCCCCAAGGGACTGTGCGGCTGCCGAACGTCAGCCAGGCACAGCTGCCCCTGGGCGCAGCAGAGGAGCAACACGTTGCAATCCAGGAACGCCAGGCCGCTGAGCTCCTCGCTGTTTCTGGAGGCTAGAAAGAGAGAGGCAGATCTCAGATGCCACGAGGAGCATTTACATGATTTCTCTGCTGCAATGGTGCCTGAGAAAGCAGATTTCCAGCCTTGTCCCTAGAAGCAACACTAGTTAGTTCTTCAAGAGAGCCAGCAGCAGAGACTGACAGTCTGCTCAAGAATTATCTCTGCCCAGGATCTACAGGGAGCGGGCACAGTCCGTACCCCTTGAAAGGTGAAGTTAACACCCAGGCAGAGGAGACAGCGGTAGCCCACAACTAACACAGCTCTGTTCGAGCTCCCATGGGAGACCTGACATGGACCAGGGCTCTGACAGCAGATGCCTCCAGCTCTGCCCCTCAGCAGTGGGAGTGGCACGGGGACATGGCAGAGCCCTGCAGTGACAGATTTGTCCTTCCCTCCTTTTGCTCAGCACACTGGGCTACAGCTGCCAGACACACACATTTTCCTCACTGGAGGATGAGGTGTGTGGAGACTGAACCTTACTGTGTAGGTGAAGGCAGATGGTCTTCAGGACCCCCAACAAACCAGACCTGGATTCACCGCCTCGAGCTAAAGCGGGGCTGGTTTAACGAGGCTGGCACGAACCCTCCTCCATCACACGGACAGATCCCAGAGCAGCACAGAGCTTGCTCAGAAGTTGATGCCGATTTCAACAACCCCAAGCAATGTGACTCTGGGGCCAGCACCTCCCTGGTTTCAGACAACAAACACAGCAGTCCTCTGCTGTCCCGATTCTTTGCACTGAAACCATCTACGGAGCTCTCGTAGGGCACAGATCTGGGGCAGAAGCCTGAGACATCACTGTCATGGGAACAGCGAGAAGCTGGAGATGGACCGGAGCATCGTAACCTCTTTCCTCAATACGGTGGTCTTTCTGCAAATGTCTTTATACCCTTTGGCACATGTGTGTAAGGACCCACCCAGTGAAACATTCGCCACTTGAGCAGTTACCCTTGCTTCACCCAAACCCCAACTTCCCAAAAATCAGACATTAGACTTGGTTTGAATACCTGCCATGTAGACGTTTTTCCTTGATTCAACCTCTGTAATTTGGACGCTGCTGAGTCTTGAGCCATGAAGGACCCACGGGGCTCTGGCCGAAATGGTTGCAATTTTAGCCCAAGGTTGCCCAGTGCCATTTTCTGTAGGTATGGCACTTACAGATTTAATAACATCTATTTGAAAGAGATGTAAGCAGTTGTAAAACACACCAAGAGTCAAGCAATCCACAAGATTAAGCTGTTTCACAGCCTCATAAAGCTAAAAGTGACCTACTAAACCAGTAAGAAATCAAATTACGACTAACTCCCTCTCCAGAATAAAACAACTCTTTCCAAAACATCCAGCAAGGATTGACAAGCCACTTAAAATCTAGCAAAATGCAGGGAAAGTTGTGAATCCAGATGTTTATTTTCAACGAAGAAGAATAAGAAAACTTCTAATAACATTTTGAACTTCCTTTTTGGTGGTTTCAAAGTATTTCACAACAGTAAACAAAGCAACGGCAATCCTTTTCTAGAAGCAGGCAGACATAGGCTTGAAGAACTGAGGTGGTTCCTGGTATATCCTGAAAGGTGATGATCTGTGGAGCTCTTACTTCTAACCCTTGGGGTTATTAAGGGAACACTGTGCCAACTACATGATTAAGGGTCTTGTTTGTACAACTAAGAGCTCACAAATAAGTAGAAAACCACTGTGACAAGCCTAAACTGGCTAATTCCCATAGGAGGTTTGTGCCATCAAGTCCACATCTTTCCAAGCCACCACAACTGGTGTAGGCACTTGTCTCGTGCCCTTCTCCAGCCCCTGCCACACCAGAGCAGTCACTCAGGACTTCACCGAATGGGACTGGCACTCCTCTCCTCATTTTACACCCAGGAAGAAGGGGGAAGCTAGAGAAGCTTGACATAAAGACTACATTGAGAAACTGCCTGAGCTCAGAAACATGTTCCCTTACCAGAGTCCTCTGCTGACACCTGCCAGACCTGGAGGGAGCTGTCTGGTGGGCCACTCGTCACCAGTAAGCTGAGGAAACAAAAAGAACCCCACAAAACTCTTCAGGAACAGAGGATGTATCCCAGGCCTTTTTTCCCTGGCCTGGGATAAACCGGTCTGCTAGTCCTCCTTGCTTAGGAGCTCTCGCCTCTGCTTGGAGTAGAGAAGGAGCCATAAGGACCGTAACCCCAGAACTCCTCATGCCAGGGTGCTCTACACAGCCCAAGCAAACACAGTCCCAGGCAACGGCATTTAATTAGCACATTTTCCAAAAGCGCTAGCCTAAGAACAGTGCAAAAAGCCTCAAAGTAGCAACTGGGGCTTGTGTAGGAGGAGAGTGCTGAATGAGTGAAATGAATCAGCCAGAGGGAAGCGTGTTTGCTTGGTCTACAATCCACAGCAGGAAAAAACCTTCTGAACCTGCATACACAAGGACTTACACAGCAGTGGCAGCAGCCC